TTAAGCGTTTTAGTGGTTTAAGGCCTGGGAAACGGCAGGCTTGAACGCCCATAAGAAGCAATTTTGAAGTGGCCTTGGGCTGGCTTTTGCCTGCGTGGTTGGGCGTTCCAAGAGGCTTTTGAAGCATTTGAAGCGTTGAAAGGCTGGCAAACGGCAAGCTTGAACGCCCATAGAAGCCATTGATCTGGCCTTGGGGTAGTGATGTGGCCTTGGGGTAGCTTTTGCCTGCGCGGTTGGGCGTTCCAAGAGGTTTTTTAAGCATTTGAAGGGTTTAAAGGCTGGCAAACGGCAAGCTTGAACGCCCATAGTCCCATTGATGTAGCCTTGGGGTGCCTGTTGCCTGCGGGGTTGGGCGTGCCAAGAGGATGGTTAAGCATTTTAAGAGTTTTAAGCGCTTTAAGGCTTTTATGCGTTTTAAGCGTTTTAGGGGTTTAAGGCCTGGCAAACGGCAGGCTTGGACGCCCATAAGAAGGAATTTTGAAGTGGCCTTGGGCTAGCTTTTGCCTGCGCGGTTGGGTGTTCCAAGAGGCTTTTGAAGCATTTGAAGCGTTGAAAGGCTGGCAAACGGCAAGCTTGAACGCCCATAGAAGCAATTGATCTGGTCTTGGGGTAGTGATGTGGCCTTGGGGTAGCTTTTGCCTGCACGGTTGGGCGCTCCAAGAGGTTTTGTAAGCATTTGAAGCGTTTAAAGGCTGGCAAACAGCAGGCTTGAACGCCCAGAGGAAGCCATTGATCTGGCCTTGGGGCAGCTTTTGCCTGCGCGATTGGGCGTTCCAAGAGGTTTTTTAAGCATTTCAAGGGTTTAAAGGCTGGAAAACGGCAAGCTTGAACGCCCATAGTCCCATTGATGTGCGTGTTGCCTGCGGGGTTGGGCGTGCCAAGAGGATGGTTAAGCGTTTTAAGCGTTTTAAGCGTTTTAGTGGTTTAAGGCCTGGCAAACGGCAGGCTTGGACGCCCATAGGAAGCAATTTTGAGGTGGCCTTGGGCTGGCTTTTGCCTGCGTGGTTGGGCGTTCCAAGTGGCTTTTGAAGCATTTGAAGCGTTGAAAGGCTGGCAAACGGCAAGCTTGAACGCCCATAGAAACCATTGATCCGGCCTTGGGGTAGTGATGTGGCCTTGGGGTAGCTTTTGCCTGCACGGTTGGGCGCTCCAAGAGGTTTTTTTAAGCATTTGAAGCGTTTAAAGGCTGGCAAACGGCAGGCTTGAGCGCCCAGAAGAAGCCATTGAGCTGGCCTTGGGGCAGCTTTTGCCTGCACGATTGGGCGTTCCAAGAGGCTTTTTAAGCATTTCAAGGGTTTAAAGGCTGGCAAACGGCAAGCTTCAACGCCCATAGTCCCATTGATGTGCCTGTTGCCTGCGGGGTTGGGCGTGCCAAGAGGATGGTTAAGCGTTTTAACGTTTTAAGGGTTTTAAGCGTTTTAGGGGTTTAAGGCCTGGCAAACGGCAGGCTTGAACGCCCATAAGAAGGAATTTTGAAGTGGCCTTGGGCTAGCTTTTGCCTGCGCGGTTGGGCGTTCCAAGAGGCTTTTGAAGCATTTTCCAGCACGTTGAAAGGCTGGCAAACGGCAAACTTGAACGCCCATAGTGCCATTGATGTGGCCTTGGGGTGCCTGTTGCCTGCGGGGTTGGGCGTGCCAAGAGGATGGTTAAGCGTTTCAAGCGTTTTAAGGGTTTTAAGCGTTTTAGGGGTTTAAGGCCTGGCAAACGGCAGGCTTGAACGCCCATAAGAAGCCATTGAAGTGGCCTTGGGGTAACTTTTGAAACGTTTAAAGGCTGGCAAACGGCAGGTTTGAATGCCAATAAGAAGCAATTGCTCTTGCTGGCAAACAACAGCAAGCTAATGGCAAGCCGACAAAAACGTTCCTGGCGAAGGCAGGGGTCGGCGGATAACCCCCATTAACTATAGTTATATCATGTTATATCTACCATAAACCATGGTTAAATTAGCAAATTTGGAACTGGTAGACAGCCGACATACCTGTGATAGGTGAGCAGCCGGTCACCAGATGCCAATGGGAGGAAAGTGAGAATTGGCGTGCTTTGGGCGTGCCCTACGCGACATGTAAAAAATTGCACGGCCAGATTCATGTTGAACTGCAAGCTGTCTGTAGCTGCAGACGTTTGTGTTTAGCACCATGGGCTCAATTTTTTTCATGTTTATTTTCCGTATCTTGGATTGAAAGATCCCTTTATCGCTCCTGTCTCCGTGCCACATTTTTGGGTGCGTATAGCTAAAGCATTCGAGAACATAAGATTGTATTTGTTGACAGATACATACCGCCCTTGCACCTTGGGCAAAACCCATGTTTTTAGTGAGATCCTTTGACGGTCCATCTCTCTGTTCAACCAACCCAAATTCACTGACATTTTGTTTCAAACTTTGACAATTCCAGATCAAATCAGACAGAACTTATAATACTTATAGATACTTCCACTTATTCAGTGCACAGGTGTTTAACAAACTACGAGCAACATGGCAAACTGGTTCGTTCCTTTTCGACAGTTGCAGCGCCGTGAAGCGCTTGTTAGGCAACGAGTCAACGAGCGCACGAATCAAAGCAGACCTCACAGCCTCACATGTGCTAACCTCACATATGTCAACATCCAATTTACTCAACCTACCTCAACTTCACATCTTCTCAACCTTGCCTCCTGTTTTGTTTCCCTTCCACTCTCCGTTTCTCTTTTTTTTTTGGCTGCCCCAGGACCTTTCCCACGTGTCTGCCTCCTCAGCTCTCGATCTGTTTCTCTTCTTGTGGCTGTCTTGCGATGGAGATCCTATGTGTTTTGTTTTTGCCAGGAACAGTCAGGATAATTTTTTCAAGTGCATATATATATATATATAAATATATATATATGCAGGGTACTTTGCGCTTGGTGCCAAGATGCTGGTTTCACAGTATTTAGTACAGTTTGGTTCTGTTCATGTTTCCGGTGCAAAACATTTTGTTTTTTTTGATAATTTCAGATGGCTAGATCAAGAGAGATGTTTAGCGAGTTCATTATCAGTGACCACAGTGGTCACGGCATACGTTTTTTCAATCAGATGGCCAGCCAAATTACCTCGGAAAGTTTGCTGGTTTTTTGGGCAGTTTGGTTCATTTTTACCTCGGTTGATCGGCGAGGTTTTTGGACCTGAAGGGTCTTGGCTTTCAGCAGCCTCCTGTGTTTAGCACCTGTCACCAATGGAGCCGATGGAAATTGGCGAGTTTGTCTTGCTTTTCAGATCGGACTTGTAGCGGTTGAGATTTGATCAAACGTTTGGGCATCGGGCATGATGTAGCGGCACGTGCAAGACCAGTCCTGCGTTGCAGCCCAAATGTTGGCTCGTTGCAAACCAATTTGTATCCCATGTCCTTGGCATTATCTCCGAAACAAGACCAGGTTCATGCAGCTCGCAACATGCTCAGTGTGCATCATTTGTGTCCTGGACAAGCCAATGCTGACAATATCTCAAGAGGAACGTTCTTGGAAGAATATTGGTTTATATAAGGGAGATGAATTTTGAATGTTCAGCAATGTCTAGTCAAACGAAAAGTGGTCTGAAGTGCCGGTCTTCGTAAGCCCTTCTCTCCTAAACGATTGTGCTGTGTTGGGACTTTGAGCGTCTCTTGAAATCTCAGCATTGTTACCTAGGTACCTCTCCACATTTGTGCGTACCTACATGATTCCAGCAACTACAGTTTGATGTCCCTTTCCTATGCAACTGCGCTCCCTGTTGGATCTTCCAACAGCAGGGTTTCTTCCACGTTTCAGACGATGTGGTCCGACCTGTCAAGCCTTGATGGTCCGGATTTTGTCCAGAGAGGCTTCGAACAGCTGTGCCAAAGTGATGACAGTGGCTTGTTGATTTTCTACGGTTCCACGTCTTTCCCAAAGAATGTCAGTCTCAGAACTTTTGCCTTTTATCAGGGTACAAGTTTTGCATCGTTCCATACGCAGGTCTTCCTCACTGTCTCCAACGTATGGCGAGGTTTCTTCAGTGTTTTCTCCGACATCTGGGGTCACGTTGGATTTCCTTGAAAGGGCATCAATGTGTAGCAAACCCTCAGAGGTTTCTGTGGGTCATGGCTCCCGAACGGCAGTTGGACTGCAGGTGCCTTAGTGACTTGGCATTGTCGTCAAAACTGACAGCAAGAAAAAATCGTCAGCCATCACCTTTGACAGTTTTTCTCCTTTTTCTTGCCAGCGATCTCCAGTTGTGACAAGGGATCCAGGGGATTCAAAACATCACCAGATGGTTTTGAGAACAAAGGATTCATGCGCCACATGCGTGGCTTTCAGAGGAACTTGGTCAGGGCCAATGCTCGAAGTGCTCCGATAGGCCCCAGCCAATCTTTAAGTCATTAACATGTTAACTGCAACCTGCAGCACCAAGGGACCAAACCATTGACTGTGAGCCTTTGAGCGTTTGGAGACGTGTTTGGAGACCCAGGCTTTCCGAAACAGAATGTGCCATTTTGTCAGATTTCCCGCTCTTTGTTAGAGCCGAACACGTGACACTGAGATCGGTGAGAACACCTAGTGGGGATTGATGATTTGTTGCATGGCAAGCGGACATCCTGAACAATGTCAGTTGAAAATTGTTCCAGGCCTCACTTGGATCAAAGAAATTGCAAGCCACATACTGCCCATCTAGTCCATCTAGGATGCAGAAAAGTTGTCACTCCATGATCTCCATGTCTATGGTTCCTGTCTTTCTCCGGCTCCGGCCATTGAATTCCAATCAGAAAGATCTACTTTGAACACTCTTTGAACTTTGATTGGTCAGCATTTTTTGGTTCGGATCTGCAGTGACGGGCCTAACTGGCGCCTTTGGATCCAGTTCAGCATGTCGCGGAACTTGCACATCAAAGGGGTCATGTTTCACTACTGCACGTAAACCCGCAGGAAAGTGCAGGCTTGTAACGTTGTGTATGAGGAGGAAACAAGAATTCCGTAGGTTCAATTGCGGTGTTGATTACCAAAGAAAAAATATCATGCAATTATTGGTGGCAATGTCATGTGGTGGTGATAAGGAATTTCGCATAAACCGTTTGTACCACTGGCTCAAAACGGTAGTGCGTCGCATAATTGAGAGCGGTCCGTCCATCAGCTGCAGTGCCATTTACTTCAGCCCGCTGTTCTATAAGCCACCTGACCCCCGCTGCATAGCCAATGTGGGCTGCAAAGGTCAGCGGGGTGTGACCAGAGTCATCTCGCCAATGAATGTCCCCGTGGGCAGCAAACAGCATAGATGTCAACTGCGGGTCTGGGCACAGCAGAGCATCAGCCTTCCGGTCCTCCCCATATAGCAGCCCCATACAGGATGGCTATCCAGTGCTGAACGAACCCCAGCACTGAAAACCCACCAGATCCTCCCCAAATTATTACAGTGCGAAATGATTACATTCGTTCAAGCCACCAGGAATGGAGATAGGGGGGTCAGCTGTCACCAAGTCTTTCAACCTCGTGGGCCAGCTTTGCCAGAAGTGTGATGCAGCTGGAACCAGCCAGAAAAATTGTCGTGATGCCCAAATCCAGCTTGCAATTGTTGATGAACGTGTGAGGAGACACTGCTTTGTTGAACTCTTCCAATTCTGTTGAAGCTGTCTTGCATGTGCAAACATCCCAATCGCAGGACCTGTGAGACAGCGTGAGGTACCTGCCCATGGCCCCTGGTGTATCAATTTTCTCTGGGAGCAATGTCCTTGCTCCAGTACCGTGACGCGAACAATGACGCATTTTGATTTGGAACCTCCGACGCTGACAGGCCCTTAGATACGTCATAATGGCCCAACTCTTATGGCCAAAACTTGATGATATTCGCTGATCTAGATCAGAAATTATTTCCACATCGAATGTGTCTGTTAAAGTGTTAAACTTTCCCAACCTCAAGGGTGGAGAAGCCATTGATGCTAGGATGCATTTGGTGTTGAAGACTCCTTAGCAAGAGTGATTCAGGAGAAACAGTGGTACCGCATGCTCAGTGCCAGATTCCCATGCCAAAAGAGGGTAGGCGAGGACAACATTGCAGTGCAGCCAAGCCATGTAAGACCTCATTTGGCACCGGCAAAAACCAAGAAGGCTTGAGAAACGACTGCTTGGTGCTTCCTTTTCTGCTAACTTGGAAAGGCTGTGGGTGTCTGATGGTATTTGCCAGAAACAGAGGTTATCAGAAGCGCAGAAATGTTTGAATTGTTCGTAGATCGCAACATCAGCATTCACCTTGGCTAAAACCTTCTGCGCCAGGAAGATTCTGAGCTCTATGTGTTCCTATCCACCTCCACCCAAATCTCCTCCTCAAAAGCAAATTTCTCAATGGATGTGGGCTGAGTGTTCATTGCACCGCTTTTGGCAGTTTTGCATTCAAGCAAAAAATATGAGCGTATTTTCCCCGAAAATTAGCGTAAATCACGAAAGGTAGCGTCAGCTACCTGAGTTCTCCGTGCTTCAGCACAAGCTTAGGGGGTATTGGGGGGCCAGCCCACGGAATTCATGGAATTCTCGCCGTTATGTATTGGATATCAATTATAAGGGGGGGGGCCCCCCCCCCCGAAAATGGTCATGGGTTCAATTCCCACGGGTGACGCGGTCACGGGCCCCCACATTAGAGGCACACTTTCCATGAGGGAGATGTCCCTGCAGTCCAGCATAATTGGTATGCTTCAGCCTCAATAACAGTTGCTGCAAGGGGTCTTAAAACGGGGTTTTAAATAAACCCCTTTTCGTGCATCATTTCACGCTGCACAAGACACCGTATCATGCAGTCATGCTCTGGATAAAATCATCTTAGACTGCGCAAAAACGTTTTTGGTGTATCATCTTAGGGGCGCAGCATTTTGACACCACTCCTTTCCCACTACACTACCTTTCGTCCGCCTCCGCCTGCTCTCAAGTACCAATAGCCGGGAAAAACACGTAAATACCCGTCCGTCAAGCTCCAGATTCGCGTTTTCAAGTTCGAGTGAGCATAAAAAGTCAGAACGAGCGTAAATCCAAGCAAAAACTGCTATGAACAGAAAAAAGTGTTAATTGAAGATCTATATACATGTATCACAGGTTGTTTTGATCTTATTTTGATCTTATAAACTTCCCAAATACGACGAAAGCTCCGGGAAGGCAGTTCGCGCGAAGGCCGGGAGTGTGGTCGCGAAAGCACCATGAAAGGATTTGTGAAAGCACCATGTGAGTATAATGAAATACACTAACCCTTTTGAACCGCTCATCTAAAGTCTCTCTTTTGGTGGCAAGCGGTAGCAATGGAGTCAGAAGTGCAGAGCCCAGCGCGTGCAATCGGATGTGCCCTTGCATGTGCTTCGAGAGGGTCTCTATGTAGGCGAAAGTTGGCCGCAAGTCTGTCCTACTGAACGCAGTCTCAGTGCCTGCTTGACGAATAGCCGGCGAGACATGTCAGCTATTTTGCCAAGCTGGGAGGACGCGTCCATTTTCCATGCAGTGCTTGCAAGTTTGCGCGAGAACCCAACAGTTGCAGGAAAGGTCACAATGGCGGGCTTATTTCTATGAATTCCTTGTCATACAAGTACTTTTGCAACAGATTCTGCAAGTCCTGTCGGTTCAAGGTTGCACTGCCTCCTTGTTTCTTATTTTCATGCTTTCAAGTTTTTAATCAAATACTTGATTCCCAGTCGATGGAGGTTTGCTTGTAGAGCTGATCAAGAACCTTGGAAAGTTCAGAATGTATGCGGAATGGGCTGTCCCTCGTTTTTCAGTGTTGACTGTGGAGACTTTTGATAAGATGCTTGATTCTCAGCCCAAGACCTTGGGAGCCCGTGATTCATTAGTTCGTCCACTCCGTCCTACAGCCTCTGATGCGCAACTGGTTTGCTGCAGCTGGAGCTACGCATGTTTGGTGTGAGTAAGACAGTTGCATTACGCACAAATGTTGCAGCCATCCTATGCTTCAACCCTCCCATGTGTGGCTGCGAACGAACTGGTGACAATCCTGCCTGTGTCGGGCGTGCAGCTCGACCGAAGGCATGTCTACTCAGTCGCTGTGCAGAGTGAGCAATGGCGCCACCAGTGCGTGGGATATCTACTGCCTAATTGCCCGCTGATTCCACTGCGAGGCGTTGATCGCAGGTTCCTGGTGATTCAAAGTAGTCGCCAAGAACCAGAGCCTGGGGCAGAGGCCGAGTGTTCCATTATCGTGTCGAGGGTGGAAAACATGAGCAGAAGATCATGAGACTGAATTACACTGCATGATATTGCATGGTATTGTTCTGGGTGAAGCAATATAAACACGGAGAGAGAGAAGGAGGGAGAGAGAGAGTGCTAGAGAGTGCTGTTTCCTGCAAGCCGGATGGATGAGTTCCTTTCGATGGTACGCGTTGACACAGTTTGACAAATAGCTTCATTTTTTCAGGTTTTTTTTTGTGTTTGTAGGCTGAAGAGACTTAGTGGAGAATTCGAAAGCAATTTCCATGCGACAATGCCATTTCCAGTGGTGAAACCGTGTCATGCCTTGGGGTAGTGATGTGGCCTTGGGGTAGTGATGTGGCCTTGGGGTAGCTTTTGCCTGCACGGTTGGGCGCTCCAAGAGGTTTTTTAAGCATTTGAAGCGTTTAAAGGCTGGCAAACGGCAGGCTTGAGCGCCCAGAAGAAGCCATTGAGCTGGCCTTGGGGCAGCTTTTGCCTGCACGATTGGGCGTTCCAAGAGGCTTTTTAAGCATTTCAAGGGTTTAAAGGCTGGCAAACGGCAAGCTTCAACGCCCATAGTCCCATTGATGTGCCTGTTGCCTGCGGGGTTGGGCGTGCCAAGAGGATGGTTAAGCGTTTTAACGTTTTAAGGGTTTTAAGCGTTTTAGGGGTTTAAGGCCTGGCAAACGGCAGGCTTGAACGCCCATAAGAAGGAATTTTGAAGTGGCCTTGGGCTAGCTTTTGCCTGCGCGGTTGGGCGTTCCAAGAGGCTTTTGAAGCATTTTCCAGCACGTTGAAAGGCTGGCAAACGGCAAACTTGAACGCCCATAGTGCCATTGATGTGGCCTTGGGGTGCCTGTTGCCTGCGGGGTTGGGCGTGCCAAGAGGATGGTTAAGCGTTTCAAGCGTTTTAAGGGTTTTAAGCGTTTTAGGGGTTTAAGGCCTGGCAAACGGCAGGCTTGAACGCCCATAAGAAGCCATTGAAGTGGCCTTGGGGTAGCTTTTGAAACGTTTAAAGGCTGGCAAACGGCAGGCTTGAACGCCAATAAGAAGCAATTGCTCTTGCTGGCAAACAACAGCAAGCTAATGGCAAGCCGACAAAAACGTTCCTGGCGAAGGCAGGGGTCGGCGGATAACCCCCATTAACTATAGTTATATCATGTTATATCTACCATAAACCATGGTTAAATTAGTAAATTTGGAACTGGTAGACAGCCGACATACCTGTGATAGGTGAGCAGCCGGTCACCAGATGCCAATGGGAGGAAAGTGAGAATTGGCGTGCTTTGGGCATGCCCTACGCGACATGTAAAAAATTGCGCGGCCAGATTCATGTTGAACTGCAAGCTGTCTGTAGCTGCAGACGTTTGTGTTTAGCAACATGGGCTCAATTTTTTTCATGTTTATTTTCCGTATCTTGGACTGAAAGATCCCTTTATCGCTCCTGTCTCCGTGCCACATTTTTGGGTGCGTATAGCTAAAGCATTCGAGAACATAAGATTGTATTTGTTGACAGATACATACCGCCCTTGCACCTTGGGCAAAACCCATGTTTTTTTAGTGAGATCCTTTGACGGTCCATCTCTCTGTTCAACCAACCCAAATTCACTGACATTTTGTTTCAAACTTTGACAATTCCAGATCAAATCAGACAGAACTTATAATACTTATAGATACTTCCACTTATTCAGTGCACAGGTGTTTAACAAACTACGAGCAACATGGCAAACTGGTTCGTTCCTTTTCGACAGTTGCAGCGCCGTGAAGCGCTTGTTGGGCAACGAGTCAACGAGCGCACGAATCAAAGCAGACCTCACAGCCTCACATGTGCTAACCTCACATATGTCAACATCCAATTTACTCAACCTACCTCAACTTCACATCTTCTCAACCTTGCCTCCTGTTTTGTTTCCCTTCCACTCTCCGTTTCTCTTTTTTTTTTTGGCTGCCCCAGGACCTTTCCCACGTGTCTGCCTCCTCAGCTCTCGATCTGTTTCTCTTCTTGTGGCTGTCTTGCGATGGAGATCCTATGTGTTTTGTTTTTGCCAGGAACAGTCAGGATAATTTTTTCAAGTGCATATATATATATATATATGCAGGGTACTTTGCGCTTGGTGCCAAGATGCCGGTTTCACAGTATTTAGTACAGTTTGGTTCTGTTCAT